GGTTTAGGGGTTTAGGGTTTAGTCGTCGTGCTTGGATCCTCGGCAGGCTTGTCCCAGTTGTGAGTGCTGAAACCCTAAACCCAAAGACACCTCGCTTGGGGGCATAGATCCTAGCCATGCGAGAGGGGAAGAAAAGACCACAAGCAACTACTGCAAGGATGCACCGGTGACCCAAGTTACACAATGAGGGAGCGAAAACAGAACCCAAATACCATGATCAAACAATTAACTCCAAAACCCCCCAGACCCCAAAACCTATACAACCCCACAACCCCCAAAACCAACGAAGCTGCAAACTCCCCTAGCCCCTCTGAGCCGCAAGCTCCAAGGTGCATAAGGAGGGCTACCAGACCGTCGTTTTCAATCCAGGGGATGGTCCTGAGATCGTCATCTGGGACAAGAACCAGGCGATTCCAGCTACGGGCTTACAGGTTTCGGGGTTCCAGCTCACTTGGGGGTTTCGGGAGTTTAGGATTCCTTTAGAGTCGTATCTTAAGATTCAGATTCAACTTTTTGAGTCGGGGTTTGGGGTTGAGGGCTGAGAGTTCCGGTCCGAATTCCCAATGGCTGGAAGCACTCATGGCTTCTGGGTTGGGGTCTTAATCATTAGGGTTCAGGGTTAAGGGACTAAAAGACAGGCGTGCAATTGCCATGCCTGCTGCCCAGCTGATAGCAAAGAGCCTGGGTTCAAAAAAAGGGGGTCTCAGAACAGGCCTCGGCTGAAGAACGGCAGAAGAGGTAATGCAAGCAATGCTGGCCGTCATCAAGTCCGGTTTCAGAACAGAGTTTTGGGGCCCCTTAGACTATTCTATGGCAGTAGGTTTTGTAGTTTGGTGGCCTTTTCATCGTATCTTCAAGCTTTGGCACTCTTCAAGAGCAGATTTTCCCGGGCCTTGAGCCCTTTTTTGGAGGATAGACTCGAAACCCTAAACCCCCCTAAAACCTGAACCCTGAACGCTAAACCCTAAACCCTATTCCCTCAACGAAGAGCTCCTGGACCCGCTGCCCCTCGGGCTCTCGTGGTCTTAATCTTACGGGCTTTCGTGTCTGGGGGTAGGGTCTTGTGTACATTCTCTTTGGGTCTATAAGTTTTTTTTTTTCGAAGTCCTGGCTTAGCTCGAATCAGAATCTTTTGTGCAATGCCCCCATCTGCAGCTCTACCAGTTTTTCTGGCGTCTTCATGTGAGCCCAATGACAGCCACTCCGCTGTTGGGGTTATTCAATGGATTATCTTTCGAAGTCCTGGCTTACAAAGCGCACCTGATCCTTCGAGCATCCTGCGTCCTTGCAGGTGAAGTCCATGAAGCACATCGGCTCGTGAGAGAGGATCTGTTCAGCTGGCGAGACATGTAAACGCTACTCCTTCAAAACGGCCTCAAATGGGGCTGTACTGTCTGTGTGAGTTTGCGCACCTTTGTCGTGCGGCTCCAAAAAAGGAATGCCCCCCGTCCATGGAAGTTTGAGACGCGAGCTTCGACACGGTGGGGTGCAGGTGTTTCGGGTTCTCTGGAGTGTTGCTAAAGTAAAAACAGCAAGCTTGAACAACTTTAGAGTCGTCAACGAGTTGCCTCTCTCGATAATAATTAGAATAGGCTCTGGGGTATGATTATACAATAATTATAATTAAGGAACCCCCTAAACCCTATTCTACTTATTAAGTCAACGAACCCTAAACCCTAAACCCCTCAACCCTAAACCTTAAACCCTAAACCCTCTCTCGTCCTCAAACCGTCGCAGTTTCTGAGCTCTCAGTGTTTTGCCCACGCCAGGCGAGCAATAACCTGGCGGCCGACCCGTGCGCAGCCTGGGGACACGTTACGTGGAGGATCATGGGACTTAGTAAGTAAGGTTAGGGTTTAGGGTTTAGGGTTTAGGGTTTAGGGTTATAAGTCCCTTAATTGGGGTTATATAAGTAAATATAAGTATAGTTGCCTTAATTATAACCCACTAACTAAGTCCCATGATATTTTCAGTATGGGACCTGCACCGTCATCCGCCTTGTCCTGCTAGCTAGGACAGTGTTCAGCCTACAAAGTGTCTGCTGCTGTTTGAGCTTACACCCCACGCTCGGCAACGCTTCGTGCATGTAGTTTCATGAGGTCATGAGCATGAGTGTGAAGAGCATGAACAGTCGCTCCGTTCCACCAGCCACACAGCCACAGCCTCAGTTAAATATCAGCTGGTCTCCGGAGCCGAATCTCGTTACCCATGCCGCAAGATGCTATCCAAAGGCAGGCTATGAAAGCAACAATGTGGCACATCTAGCCCAGCGAGTCGGCTGCCATGGATGACGTGGACATCTATGGCGATCTCCTGCCCGCGCAGCCCAAGGCAGTCGCCAAGGCTGGGCCCTCGCCCTCAGTGCCGGACCCACGGCTGGCAGAGGCCGCCGACAAAGCGGAGCGCGGTGCTGGCAGAGCCACTGCGGAGCGGCCTTTTCGACCGCGAGCCCGAAACTTGGTTTGGAAGGCACCCGGATTGGAGAGCCCTGCGGTGACCCGCAAGGAGGCCCAGGTGCCAAAGGACAGCGACGAGCCCGAGGTGGTGGTGCTGGATGATGCGGAGCCGCCGCCTCCACCGGCGCAGCCCGCGGAGGCCAAGCCAGCGGAGTCGCCGCCAGCCTCCGCACCCCCCGCGCAGTCTCCTGCACCGGCTGCCGCCGTCGCTGAAGCAGTGGCGGAACCGAAGCCGAAGGATTTTGCGACTCTGCAGAAGGAATTGCAGGCAGAGGAGGCATGGGCGGCCAAACTTGACCCGGAGCTTAAGTGTAGATGGGCTCGTATAGTTTCAACACGCAGAGTAAACATACTATCTTGAGGACGGGATTTCGACTCATGCCGGCCATTAGCGCACGAAAGGATCGCCAACGACACAAACACGAAACAGCGCGATGGTCAGGTGGTTGAATGAGCTTGTTTCGAAGTTGGTTCGGGTGCCGGGCCGTCTTGGACGGCGTGGGGTGGGTGAAACTAATCTAGGGGGCCTGAATGGTCAGTTCAGGGCATTGAAGTAGGACATATTATATGCTAAGGCTCCATTGCTCTAAGGCTATTTGGGCCTCTAAGGGGATCTTTCCTCGCTAGAGTGGTGGAGTCGAAGCCCTGGAATCGGGTCCACCATCCCTCGAGGCCTCTGCGGCCCCTGGCAGCCCGGTCTCCGAAGGGGCCGCAGATCTGGACCCGGACATGGAGGCTGGCTGGTTAGCAGAACGAGTGGTTTACTGTTCTTCTTTTGATGGGCTGTTTGGAGGGCGTGGCGGTGAGAGAGAAACCCTGAACCCTAAACCTTAAACCCATAGTTGCCTCCGGCCTTGCACCTCCGGCCCTTCTTACCCGAAACCCTAGCCTGGTTGGGACTTTGACGAGTTGTGCATATTCTCACAATGTACCACCATCTGGCCATTACCTGTTCCAGTAAAGCAAAACTGCCCGCTCTTATTCCTCACCACCACTTCTCTGTCTGGCTGATGATGATGATGATGCTGCCAGCAGCAGCCGAGACATGCATACTTGTTCTTCACCTTGTTTCAGTGCGGTTGTCACAGCAACTACTCCTGGCCGCTGCTAACGGCTTAGTCTTAGACGCTGATGGCAAAGCACGCCACACCCGCGACGCAGAGGACGGCGGTGTGATCTCTGATGGGACGGAAGGAAGCGAGGCCGCAACGGTCGATTTCTCGGATTAAAGCTTTTTGGTGTTTGCGGTTCAAGGCTTAAGGCCAGATTGGAACCTCCACCGACAGTTCGAAGCGCGAGGAGAATGGAGATTTCAGAAATTTTGGGGTCGGGTCCCTCACTTATTCAGGGCGCTTTGTTTATGTGAGTGTCTTTAGTTTTTGAAAGCATCGTTGCAATTCGAGCGATGCTAACTATTTTTGGCTTGAGTTGACCTGTCGGCATAAACGCGCTCCTGTGAGGGGGCTTCGGCAATCTAGCGCTGTAAGAGGTTTGGGGCTCAGGAATCAAAGATGAGCTCTCCGCTGCCTCACCCGAACGGATCCGTTTCGAGATTTCCCGAGTCGCAGTTGCACTTCTTATACACGAACCTACACACTTGCAGTGCGCCCAAAAGCCTTGTTCCGATGTTAAGTGGTGGCTTTGAGCCTTAGAATCAGCAGGAGCCGATGCCCCTGCCCCGATCAGTCTCCTACCCGTGCGATGACAAGCCTTCCCTGGCCTAAGCATCCTGAATCCGAAACCCTGTGCCCCATCCTGGACCCTGAACCCTAAATGCGAGTTACACCCTTCACCCTAAGCCAGAAACCATAGACCCTGCACCCTAGATCTTCAACCCTCCACCCCAACCCGCTTGCTAACTTTGCCGTCTCTGCCAGCCTTTGTAGAATTCACTTCTCTGACCTCAAGAAACATGCCTTGCCCCGACTGTCCCAGTTATGAGCGCCGAAGACCCCTAAGCTCCAGAGTCTGGCCAGGACGGCGAGATTCACCTCGGAGAGGCAACGCATGGGGCATCAGACTGCGATTCCGATGGCCTGGTGGTGTCTTCGGCTCTATGCCGTTGTGAATGACCATGAGCTTTCAGCATCCACAGGCGTTTGTTCTTTAAGGTGCTTCTGTGACGGAGTGCAGGAGCTAAACCTTCTGTCTGTATAAGCGACTACAGAAATCTTGACTTTATACACATACTGTTGTCTTCAGAAGTGCCCTTTTCTTCTCACTGCTGCAAGGAATCTCGAACCTGTAGTCTCAAGCATCTTGTTGCGGTTCAGTTTGGAAGTCATTTGCATCTCCGGAAACCATCGGAGAGACTCGCAACTAGACCCTTAAGGCAACTAGCTCCGAGCCAAAGGCCTAGAAGCAGTCTGGAAAAACTCCCCGCCATCCGCCCCACCCACAAAACGACAATTTGTCTCTGCTTCGGAGGTGCGCGCTTCCGAAACAGGCACAGCGGCTCCCCACTTTCGGCGTGCTCAGGAGTGCCGGGTATAGTGTCGCCGGCACACTTTTCAATATGCTGGAGCGATGGGATGCATGCAGCATCAAGTGTTTCACAAAGCCCCTGGCGCCGCCGGTATGTGTCCACCCCAGCGACACCCGAAAAAGCATGCAGATACTACCATAGTGCCCCCCGCTTCAAGATGGTTTGGTGCATCCACCAAGCCAAGATATGAAATCCTCGGTTCCGGAGAGCTGCAAGGAGAAGGGCGATTCTGCACCCTCATCTGGTGGCATGGGGCCCAAGGGGCCAAGGCGCTTAGTTTGGGATTCAGGGGATGTCCGGCGAGTTTTAGGCAAGTGAGGACATTTGCTGCTTCAGAACGCGAGTCTTGGACACCTGCGAGTATCAGTACCAGCAAACATAGACTTGCCACTGTCTACATCTGTATGAGTGTATTCTCACAGTCAGACTTGTGCAGTTGTGAGTGACTGCACGAGTGCTAGTACTTGCTGTAGCCGTGTATCATTGTTAGACATGCAATGACGTGTACTCTGTCTGTTTCGGGGTTGGCACGAATTGTAGTAACTTGGACGAAAAAGACGCAGACATCGCCACTGCTGCTTGTCTCAGAGCTGACACAGCAAATGCACCGAAGCCTGGCAAACAGGATCAAGAAGAAGGAGATTCTGCTGTTTATCGGGCCGCCACCGCCGTTGGCACCACTTGTGTCCTGGCGGATGGTGGTTGTAGCTTTGGGCTGGCAAACTTGCTGATCAAAGTCTTGGTGGGTCATGAATTCCTCGTGGTGGGAAAAGAAATGCGATATTTCGGTTTCCCTAAACTCTAAACCTTAAACCCTAAACCCTAAACCCTGACAAACCGAAAGCCTGCAGAGGACGAGTTGCGAGGTCTAACCCGAAGCAGCCTTACACATGCACGAGGCCATGTAGCCTCAGGTATGCTCTGCTTGGTTTCGATATGCCCGGAGCTTTAAATCCTGAACATGAGCCTTCGAAGCCACTGGTGGATTGGATTTCAGCCTGGATTTCGACCAGTCGACTTCGGTGGTGATTGCAGAAGAGGATTGGGATGCGCATCTGTGAACTCAAGAGTTCATGTCATTGAGGTTTTTCGAGTAGCCGAAAATCGGGCGACTCTCCTGGCATGAGGAAAGACGGAGTAGCTACGACATCTACATTGTACCCTGTATTACTTAGTAGAGTGTGCCTGTGGTTGTCTTGTATGTTTCGTATGGTTAAAATCTATGCGCCACGCCCCAAATCTTGAGACCTGTGCGCCCAGCATCCCTCACCCACCGCGCTTTCTATTAGAGGGTCCCTAAACCCCAAGCCCTCAACCCTAAACCCTAAACCCTAAACCCCTAAACCCTAACCCTAAACCCTCTAATCCCCAAACAGGGTCAGCCTGGCGAGAGCAGTTCGCTGCTGATTGGAGGCCTCCCGTGGTGGCGCGGGCTGCACAAGTACTCGGGGCTTTCGTTTAGGGTTTAGGGTCTAGGGTTTCCTTGGCTGTCTTGGGTCCCTAAACCCTAAGCCCTAAAACCTATCGATAGCTGGACTTCAGCGGAGTGAAAGGCCCAAGACACTCAAAATACACACCTATCGATGGCGAAAGCCAAAACCCCCGCAAACCCAAACCCGACATCCCGAAAGCCCCAAGGTCTGATATGGGAGCCTGATGCGCCCGACTTAAGAAGCTCTGGATTCAGGAGATTCTAGAGCCCCTAGCTCGGGTCGTCAGAACCACTGGTTTCTAAACCGGGTTCCAGCATGAATATAGGGCCAAATAATTACTAATGCTATGCTGGGGGTTCCTTATCATAATTATACTAATGTACACCCAATACCCTATTCTAAGTATTAAGGCCCCTACAGTGTCACTAAACAACCCTTGAAAGGAGCCCTATTCTAGTTATTAAGGCCCCTACAGTACCTCACAGGAAACCCTGCCTTCGGTGTGTGCCAGGGCCGAGGAGTGCTGTCAGTATGCTGGACTTTGTTAGATAGTAGGGTTAAGGGAAAAGGGTTTAGTATTGGCGCTGCAAAAAGGGTTTAGGGTTTAGTATTGCCTGGGTTGAGGTTTGGTCAAAAGCTCGCTTCGCCATTTTAAAGAAGTCGCCAGCGCCCGGAAGCACCGCAGACTTAATCCCCTCAGCACCTGAACCCTTGCGCTGAGTCCTCAGCCCTTGCCGAATTCTCTAATATAGAAGTCTGAATAGTTACCAAGATTATTTTTGGGGTTCGTTTTTATAACTATAGTATAATATACCCCCAAACCCTATTCTAATCATTCAGGCCCCTAGATTATGCCAAGGTGGCTGACTGACACGGAGCTGCGAAGGCCTGGCCGAGCCTCTTGATACTGCTCCTGCTCCTGTTGCAGGTATTCTGCATGAGGTAGTTCTCTAAATTAGGGTCCTTTTTCGGTCCTTTTAATTATGGTGCCGTACTATATTGGGAACCATTGGGGACCTTAAAAAGTACCACAATTTAGAAAACTACATGAACTTTTCGGAACACGTAAGAAGGGTCTCAGCAGAAAGTATGGGAGCCCGACATGAACTCCAGACCTTTGTTACAGGGATGCCTACTTGCGCCTGAGCTGTCCCAGAGTCGAACCAGCCCAGAGACTCCAATATCCCTTAATTATAGGAATATACCTTAAATCATACTAAGGATCCTACTATAATTTAAGGTATATTCCTTACTTAAGGGATATTGGAGTCTCTGGGAGCTTCAAAAGCTGCACAGGTATGGCGAGCAGTACGGCCAGGTCAGGCGACTGAGGAGGGGAGGGGGGGTCCTGGGACTTCGGGGGGCCATGGGGCCTCAAAGATCTTCGAGGTCCTGCAAGCCTGAAACCTTCCCGGAACCCAAACCTTCTTACCCTACACCCTAACACCCAAGCCTTGTTCCCCTAAGCCCTAAACCCTAAGCCCAAGCCTTGTTCCCCAAAGCCCTAAACCCCAAACCCCAGCCTTGTACCCCTAAACCCTAAACCCTAAACCCTGAACCCTAAACCCTAAACCCTGAACCCTAAACCCTAAACCCTGAACCCTGAACCCGAAACCCTGAACCCAAAACCCTTGTCCCCCTAAACCGTAGCTTAGAAGCCCCCACGGCCACGAGGATCCTGGACTTCGCTGGCAGCGGCAAGTCCGCCGGCGTCGCGCTCCTGGAATTCGCGCAAGCGGATGCTGCGAGGCCTAAACCCTCACTGAATCCTTAAACTGCTAAAAGGCCCATAGAGCCCGCAGCTTCTGTCGTTTCGCAGGCAGGCACTTCGCCCTGACGGCCTTTGCCGACCCCAACTCTGGTGCTCGATTTAAAGACTTCGGGGGTTTTGGGTTTAGGGTTTGGGGGTTTAGGGTGGAGGGTTTAGGGTTTAGAGTTTTGGGTTTAGGGGTTTTGGGTTTAGGGTTTTGGGTTTAGGGTTTTGGGTTTAGGGTTTAGGGTGGAGGGTTTTGATTTCGCGAGTCCTGGTGCTTAAAAGCTTAAGGCGGCTAAGGGTGTACAGTTCAGGATGTTGTACTGCGCAAGGACCAGAGTAATGCAGCAGCGCGACAGCCCGAGAATCTAGAATCCCTTGTGGGTTTGGGGGAGCCCTTGTGCAGACCTTTGAAGCGCGGCTTAGACAAGAACCTGCCTTCGCCCCCTTGGTTTGGGGCTCAAAGGGGCCCCGTCATCTGTGTATGCATCTCCAGCATCAGCAGACATATCAGAAACCCTGAGCCCTAAACCCTAAACCCTACACCCACCTAAAAAATCCGTGGATTGTGGATCCCAAGTGCGAACTCATCCCTCCATCCTAAACCATACTAAACGCCTACAGGTCCCCTGAATTTTGTGGGGACGAAAGCCACGTATCTTAGACACCAACCCCCCAAACACTCCGAGGTGTCCGAGTTGCGCGAGCAGGGAGTGTCCAAACCCTGAACCCTCACACCTAAATCGGCTGCCCCAGCCTCAACGAAACAAGAGCCCAAACCGAGCCAAGCACAACCTACACCACAGAATTCTAGACCCCATACCCCCAAAAACCCTACGTCCGGAACCCCAAAAGCCCTCGACCCGCACAAAAGAACCACACCCCGAGCTCTACACATCCACTAGTAGCTGTCCCCTAAACCCTAACACCCCACAAGAAAAAGCAATCCCAATAACCTCCTGAGCTCTACCCTCCTAACTACCCCCAAACCCCGAAACCCTAAACCCAACACCCCAAACCCCAAACTCTAAACTCCGAAGCCCTGCAATGCGGGCTCGTCCTTGCTAAGTAGGAGGCAAAAAACTCCGAAACCCTAAACCCTGAAACCCGAAAACCCTAAACCCAACACCACCCAAAAGTGTAAATCCCAAGGCGGCCTCTCGGAGCTGCCCCACGCGCCGCGGCCGTTGGCGGTGAGCTTCGGGGGCGACTGCGGGAAGGCGAGGGCAGGCTTTGGGCGTTTAGTATGCTACGGGAAGTTGGGGTTTAGGGTTTAGGCTTGAAAAGAATTGGTTTTAGTTAGCAAGACTTACTATACAGTGATGTGCCATAGTAAATTAGTTAGCGATGCCTCAGGGTAATTGTACAGTGATGTGCCGTAAAACAGTATTCGAATGCTTAAGGCCCCTACATTACGGCGTTGGTTCGGGCCTTCGATTTGGCGCATGGGGCTACTGTAGGGGCTGCTAGAGCAGTATTTCTTTAGAGTTCCCTTCTATATGAATGGTCGAGAATACGTTGTTGTCTAACTTGTCAGGCCACTAAGCCCCCTACATTAAGGTGCCACTAGGACAGCACGGTTTTGTTGAACTTTGTGGAGTTGGCAGCAGCTGTTCTGCAGTCTGCAAGCCATACTAGTAGCTGAGGTCCGTTTTGCTGGTGTGAGCTTTGGGGCGTGTGCTATGAGTTTGAGTGGCTTCGATCCGTGCGGAAGCCCTGCAAACATATTGCATCCACACAAACTACGGGTTCTGCTCTACGAAGTTGTTCCCTTCAAATCCATGCCGGTAGTGGTAAAGCTAGGGCCACTGTTTGAGAGAGTTCCATGCTTTGTGAAATCAAGACCGATAGAATGTCACACAAAAGAACCACAGAGCGCTGAGCTCCCAACGGTACGGCAGTACAAAGCCTGTCAATGCGGCAGAGGCACGGTGCCGTGGCTGGACGGGGGCCCATGCAGCGAGGTCTTTGCAGCGACAGTTTTCACGAAAAGCACAGGGAATACTAGACCCTGAATCCTGCGTCCTACCTCTTTCCAGTCTGGATGCTTTTCAATGTGGGAGTTTCCGAAAATGAGGGGTACCTTATTTTGGGGTCCTTAGAATAAGGATCCTACTATTTAGGGTGCTATATTAGGGTCCCCTATTTTCAGAGACTCCCATGTGGAGTCTGCCGGTAGTCCACTGCCTTCGAAGTTACACTGCAATGCGGGTTGTGTCCTTGCTAGGTAGGAGGGACAAAACCTGATGTCAAGACCACAGCAACCTCGATTTGTTAGTATGGTCCTGGCCATGCGAGAGGGAAAACATTGAAAACACCCAAAGCCAGAAACACTTCGATTAAAGGTTTAGGGTTTAGGGTTTAGCTTAAACAAAGGGTTTAAGCTCAGACATTCAGGCGATTGCACAAGTCCTGGTGCAAAAGAAGGGTTTAAGTGGGAGTTTCCGAAAATTAGGGGTAGCTTATTTTGGAGTCCTTATAATAAGGATCCTATTATTTAGGGTACTATATTAGGGTCCCCTATTTTCGGAAACCCCTAAACCCTAAACCCTAAACCCTAAACCCTAAACCCTAAACCGCTATTTTCGGAAACCCCCCAAGGGTTCAAGTCTTCAGCTCGGGTCGCTTCGAGTCTCGCAGCACGCGCTGGGCCTCGGCCCCGGTGGTCCACTGTCCTCCGTGCCGCTTCTTCAAACAGAAGCAGGGGCCCGACGGATTAGGGTTTAGGGTTTAGGGTTTAGGATTTAGGGTATGTTTCTGTCACTCCTCCGGTTGCATCCCTCGTTATGTTGAATTGTTTTTTGTTTAAAATATCTATATATCTATATCTATATCTATATCTATATCTATATCTATATCTATATCTATATCTATATCTATATCTATATCTTTATCT